AGTCGCAACGCAATCTCATTTCGTTTAACTGGTTCCATCATTTCCGTGACTAGAATGTACCGTGGCATATCGTTCGATTGTACGAGGTCAGAGGGAAGTTCTCTCTCTCTCTCTCTTTCTCTCTCTCTCTCTTCGTAGTGATATCCAATATATACATTTGCTCTCGAAAGTTGTCAGCGCGTCGGCACCGACACGCGAACAATGTGTGTTATACATCCGAAGATATATCTGTGTATAGACGACGCAGTGTCAACGCGGATATAGTTCGGCGCGGAATGCATTTGCAGTCGCTCCGCGGAGAGGAGCTTGCGACGCGCGTTTTACGTTTCAATTACTCCGATAATAGTCGCCCGTCTCTACGACACAGCGCAGCGGTGGTGCGCGCCGCGGTTTCCGAAGTCACTTCGTCTCTCGTTGATAAACAGACGACCACTGGACCGGCCGCATCGCAATGTATAACCTCGCGCGCGGTTCCTCAGCCACCTTCTCACGGTTGTGTGCGCGCGTTGATGATACGCCCAGGTCGCCTCGGTCACCACGATGTTCCGTTGCACTCCGCCGTTCGCTTTTACCCTAAGTGCCGTGATTACGCCCGTGACCGGAATTGAGGAAGCTTCCCCTTCCCCTTCTCCCTTTTTCCGGTTTGCCATCACACGTCGTATTGCCGAATACAGAGTTCGGGTGGGCCATTGCCAGCGCCGCTTCGGCAGAATTCCAAACAGCATCAGATCTCTTTCGCGATGCATGTCTGTTTACCGGGACGGCCGTTACGGAGGTGAAACAGCGGAAGCCGTGGCGGAAAACTCGCGAACATTGAGACGTGCGAGTTCCGCTCGAAATGGGAAAGTTTTCAGTAGATGCTTTTAATGACTGGATTATTTTTTATATCACGAAATATTCTATTCGCGCAAGTTATTATAAATTTTGATAACCATCGCAATAAACTACTAAAATACACGGCTTTACATTTATTTTGTACTTATTTCAGTAGCGGTAATTATTTTTTAATTGAGCTTATTACGCGCGCAACTCTCCGTGCAACTTTGAAAATGATGTTCCGCTTGCGCGCAACTCCGCAGTTCAATTCCGACAATCTCGTTTGCGTATTTTACATCCTCGGGCGATCCACGAGGAAATTCCGCAAACGGATAGATGAGCAAATTGCGTATTATCGGATTCACGAAATTTATCGTTGGATATGTGTAATCGCGTTCTACGTGTCACAACTTATTAACACATGTAGCGCGGACATGTGTTAGTTATATCTCCTCGCGATATGTAAACTTTCAACGCGGAAAACTTAATTTTCTCCGATTGAGTTTCTCCTCGCTTTCGCAACTGACATCGGGACAAAGTGCAGCTTCGGAAATGTGAATTTTATCGTTTGCCACACGATTCATACAATTCTCGTTCATTTAATAATTTATAGAAATCAAGACCAAATGTTGTTTCTCAACAGAGACGTTCCCAAGTTTTTTTGATAACAAATTGAACATATTTTATTGTGTAATATCTATTGATATATAATACGACTGTTATATTTTTTGGAACAAAAGGAAGTCACCAGCAATGTTTTTTCAATTCACACGCGTTTATTATTATGATTATGGTTTGTTTATAAACAGAGACAGAGAGTACTTAAACGCCGTCAATGCTATTAGTCAACCGCGCCGTGTTTGTAAATCAATTCGTCTCTGATAAGTATCGAACAGGAAGAGAGAGAGATAGAGAAAGAGACGGTCCAGTTGCCGATCCCGGATCGGTCTTATCCCGGCGGAGAGACCTCGGCTGTCGTCGCGCGCGAGACCGAAAAGGTCTCGAAGGTGCATTCCGTGCGCAATTGCCGGCATGCACCGTTACGGTGATCCGGTGCATTCCGGGAAGAGACATCGCGGCTACAGATGACCAGATTGCAGGTTTCCCAGTACAGGAAGTCGTGCGAGATGTTTAATTGCGTTTGTCACGACGCTACGTGGCGGCGTATCTATCTCGGGTCCGCGCGAGGAGAACGAGCGAGTACGAGCCCAATAACAATGCCGGGATAAATTAACCAGTAGGCGGCACAGCGCGGCTGACTGAGAGCAGCTATAAACCGATCCTGTAAGGAGAGGAAGATCGCCCCAGGTGGCCAGTTAACCGCTTAACCTTAAAAATGCATACATACGTCGCGCTCCGAAGCTTCTCCTTCATTCCCGCGCTCGCCGCGCAACTTTTGCCACCGTTCTCTTCTGGTTTTCTCCTCGTTTCGCGATCGCTTGCGCGTTACTTCGTTCGATCGCGCACCCGAGTCGCGTATATTTATACTCTTTCTCACTCTTTCGTCTCCCGGACATATTCTTTAGACGTTTTTCAGACGCGCACTATTCTCCGAGATTTATTTCCAGACGAGCGACGCGTTACCGTGTCGATCTCATGGTAGATAAATGGGCGAAATTGCTTCTCGAAGCGGGTCGCTATTTGTATCTGTAGACCGCCGTGTCTAGGTTGCGGCGACGGATTCTTTCGGTGTGCGCTCACAATATTCACTGCGCGCGAAGAGTGGCGAAGTCTGTTAGATATTACTTAGCGCATTTGTTCGCTCAGGCGTCTGCAAAAAAAAAACAGATATTTATTTGCGGCATTAAAAAATTATTTTAAATATGCAATTTTCATTCTATAAAGATGGAGGGATTTTGTAAATTTTATTTATCATCAAGTATATAAAAAAAGAAGTTATAATAAAAGTTGTAATAAAAAACATTTCGTATAACATGGAAAAATAATTTTATTGAGCGAGCGACGCGGGTGACATCAGATTGCGGCACAATTTCGAGATAACCGTAACAGAGAGACAGCGCGCGATATGTAGTGCTCTTTCAGGTCCGCGCCATAAGGGACAATAATCCGCGATAACGTCGTCGTATCAGAAGATTACATAGACTACCGTAGAAGAGATTTGCGGATAAACGATGGATTTAAAATGCATCTCTCCTACTCTCGACTTGTTTGGGGATTTCTTTGCGTTACATCTCGCGTCGCGTCGTCGTTTGCGAGGAGAAAAAGTCAACATCGTCCCGGGTAAACAGGGAAGAGGAGAGAACGCGCGACGTAAATTCTCAGCCTTGTCTCTGGGTATTATTCAGGCTTAGTGGATGCTACGGCCGCGACCGTGGAGGAAGCTCGCGTCTGCGAGCACAAGCAAACGGTCCTAATCCGTTTAACATAAATACCACGTGGTTTAATTAAATCGCGCACCGCAAGGTAATCGTCCGGCGGCGTTTGTCGGCGCGGGAACACACGGCGGATTTTTTTTCTTTTCCTTTCCTTAGGGATCGAGATTACCGTATTACCGTACGCGACGGATCGATGCACGTACGCGAATGGTTGTGGAAAATGAAGGCCAGCAGGTTACTAGGAAAAGTTATGCGTTAACTTTGTTTTTGCAGCGGATAAACTCGGTGCACCTTGCACGCTTCGATTCATTATTCTCGTTTATTATCCATCATACTCCCGGAACACGATACTGTGTGTATTAACCACTTTCTGTAAGAATCGATAAGGACTCGTTAATTTCTCATGAGATACGCGAAACCGCACGCCAGGTTTATGTGCGCGCTCCGCTCGCATTAGCATATTAATGTATCTTTTCAAAGGCTCTTCTTTTCCGCGGCACAACACTGGAATTTCGTGGAAAGAGTTTTCTTTATTATTATTATTTTTTAATGATTCTAAGGGAGTTTAACAACAAAGCACATACGATACAAGATGAATAAAACGTGTGTAGTTTGTGCGATAAAACTTTGATAAAGAGAGAATAATTTTATTCTTGATGTAAAGATCGCGGCTTTAAAGTTCCATGCAATTTGAATCTTTTCGCTCCGGAACACATTTTCGGAAATGTAATTCTCTTTCAATATCGGCGGAATCAATGTCGCAAATAAATCTTCCTGATTTCTCTATTTATGCAGCTTCTCTATTTCTACGTCGACTATTTCGCGAGAACAATGAAATAATCTATGCGGGCTGCATTCACAGAATGTTAATGCGATAATTTTCGTCGCAAAGCATCTCTCTCTCTCTCTCTCTCTTTCTCTTTTACTCACTTTGCGACGGTTCTCGCTATAAGACGCGACACTACAGTGACGACGAAGACGCGCTTAAAATAGTGAGGAAAGGGAGATGAATTTCCCTACTCAGGCTAATCTCGTAGAAGAGGCACTCCTTTGTAAATACTTTGGAGGCTTTGTCTGAAGTTACCGCGGGAACGAAATTCTCGGGCTTCTATCTTAATCATTCGACTAACGCAGCGACGCAAGCTCGTTTCATTCGCACGATTAGAATCTCGTGCTGCGCGTTTTTCCAAAATACATCGTCATTGTGTAAATGTATACATGAACGCGCGTTCATTCTCTTTTCTTTCCCAGCAGAACCAAAGAAACGAGAAATTGACGATCTCCATGGCGACCCTTGCCGCGTCCTGAATATCTTATGCACGAGCCCCATTAGCGGCAGAAACGTCGTGAGAATAAATGGCAGCCGCTTTTAAGGAGCTCGACATTCTATAGAATGGGCAGAGATGCTCTATGAAAGAGAAACGCGGCACACCTACAAAAATGTATCCGCGAGAAAGCGGATTCGCGCTACAATCGTAATAAATTATTAACCGAGGATCTCCGCAAAGCTTGTAATCAGTGTCCCGGCCGAAACTACAACGAATCTCTCGTTATTTCACAACGCGTTCGTGCAAAAATTGAATTCTCCTCGCCAAAGTTACAAGTATATTACATTATAGAGCATCAACAATAAGAATATAAAATAAGGTGAAAATTTGAAAAAAAACGAGGCTGAAAAATGTCAAGGCGAACTTTTTTAACCTAAAAAACTATTAGAAGGTTTTAGTACAACGTTCTATATATATTTTTAAATATTTACAGTTTTTTTATGTACTTGGATTAATTAATCTCTTTGATACTTAGTCAGACTTATACTAATTGTATATCTGCGTCTTTTTTTGGTTGCAGGTAGACACGCCCGATAGTGTTTTGCAGAGCGGTTTGGGTCTCGGACCCGACATGGGCCACACGATTCTTCGTTCGATGGTGGACCCTCGAGATTACGATCGACTAAGATACTTACAAATGAATGGCGGTCAACCAAACAGTTTTGAGGAAACCATACACAGGGTAAATTACACTTGTTGTTGTCCGCATCTCGAATATTTTTTATTTTATTTTATTTCTAGCGCTGCGCAGTATACTATATTACAAGAAAATAACGCTTAAAACTATCTAATGTTTGAGAACATACTTTCCGAGTTTTTATTTTTGCGTAATTTTGCTTGTACTACGCGCTTGCATACATTTTCCTTTTTATAATATCACTTCTCGCGAGTGAAAGCCATTTGCTCTTGTACAATCTATCGTTGATCCTTGAATTCTATCGGAATTCCTGGAGTCACTCGCGGGGAGAAAGTCGCTTCAGCGGCGATAAAACCTTTTTAAACGAAACTTAAGAACGCTTCCATCCCCTTGCATTTTTCAGCTGAAAGTTCAAGAGGCGCTGCGAAAGAAAGAGCGATTCCACAAAGAGCACGAGGAGGTGAGTGCACCTTAAAAATCCACATCTTTCTTCCAACCCCCTTCCGATTCTTATAACGTGATTTTTATCTCGTTCGGGTTTTTAACTAACGAACTTACTTGTAAAGAATCTCACAGGTAAGGCTAATGCCGCAAATCGCCAGCGGCTCTCCGCCGCGCGTTCGCGATTAAATCCTCCCGATCTCCCGCGGCAAATGGGTTACCCTTATCCTTTTCCGTATCCCCTTTAAATTGCGTAATGGCGCTTCCGTAAGGGATATACATCTCGGGACGCCGCCGCCGCACGCGTTCCGCTCACGAGCGCGCGCTTACGTCCCCCGCGTTTTGCGTTCTCGCACACCCGCACGAGCAGAGCGACAATTTTCGTTATCGCGCGCGCCGATCGTCGATAAGGACGAAGCGCGCGTATACACGATTAAGCCTCCGCAAGCCGCTCGCGCGCGGCGCGTTTCGCCTCGTTTATTTTCTTCCCGCGATTTCTCCGTGCATTGCTCGAGATCATCGGGGCGACCCTTTTCTTTCCCTCTCGTCGTTCGACTGATATTGGCCCTGGGAGCCCCGGTGGTCTTATCCGATACAATCCTCCGCCCGCTCCCGCATCCGGAATTCTCGCAGAACGAAATTTGCATGTACGCGCTATTACCACAAGGCCATGTCTCTCTCTCTCTCTCTCTCTCTCTCTCTCTCTCTCTCTCTCTCTCTCTCTCTCTCTACACCCTCTCTCTTCTTGCCAAACCCCTTCGCGCTACGCGCTCTCGTTCCCCGCTTCGTCCCGTTTCGCGTACGTGCGAGCGTGTCCGTTTATCCCCCGCGCTCTCTTCGGACTGTCTTTCGCCAACTCGATACCTCTTATTATGCAAAGCAGCTCAGATCAGCGTGATATCATCATAATCGTCAATGCGTACCGCGACGTTACGTCGTGAATTTCTTATGCGCGATCCCGCGATACTCGCGTCGGGCTTTCTTGTGTTTTTTGTTTTTTTTTTATTTTATTTTCCGTCGTGATTTCGCATCGTACGCCTTCTTCTTGTCTCGTGCGTGCGATCGCGAATTGCTAAGTACAATTACAGACATGAATCTTACAATCAGTAAAACAAGGCAAAATCTTTGAGCTTACTAGGACTTGATTGAATAATTTTGCAATAAAATTCATAAGCTTAGAGTTACCGAGAAAGTTTTATGAAAATTTTAATAAACCGACTTCTTATTCTTTATTATTTTGTTTCATTCAGATGTGGTCGTTGTTTGAAATTAGTTTAAGCAAATGAAATAATTTTACAATATCTTCTTCTTGTTGATTTGTTCGTGTTGATAATCCTCCGATAGAAAACTTATCGTCGTTAATTTATCTCGGTTAATAAAGAAATAAAGAATAGAGAGACGAGGCGAGAGAAAGAGGGAAAAAGGCTGGGACTGACTAAATTAACTACTTGAAAGAGGCACTCGGGATAATGTCGCGCACGCGGCTTTATTAAAAAATTAACTCCTTCAGAAACTTGGCCGAACGTGCCGTACAAAAGTCGTCGAAGTCCTCCCTTCTATCTCCCTGCTCTTATCCTCGATGAACGCCATTATTTGCTGACGAAGTTCTTTTGCAGCAATTTCGCAATTTTCTGATAAAAAAGAAAGTTAACTTTTTCGAGAGTTACGCGAACGTTTTAATTTTGCGAATATAATGCCCGAGGATAAAGAAAGGGGGAGGGGGAAAAAAAGAACGTGTCGTGAATGAAAAAGTTGCGCACGAAGAGGTGTCGTCTAATAAAAGTATCGTTAAAGGCGGACTCTAGAAATTAAGCAAAAAATTAAGTAGAAAATTACACGGCGCGCGGTGTGTATAGTCCGCAAATTCCGCAGATATCCGGGTATAATGAGGGAAAAGTGGCGGTTTCAACGTTGAAAACGGGACCGTTTCAATGCGATCGTGCATACCGGCGCGGTTCATGCATAAGTGGGCGACGTGTATAATGCGCTGCTTCACGCGAGGCGGAGGAAAGCGACGTATTACACACGCTTCGCACGTAACAACGCCCGAGACTTACGGGCGCGGCTTAGCTCGTTACGTATGTCGCGTATTCCCGTTGAGAATTCTCCGGTTTGCCCCGTACACCGCTTTGCCAAAAACTGCCCATTAGCGGAAGAAGAGAGCGGCGCGTACACGAGCTCGAGCAAAACGTCGTTAGGCGCGAAGCGAGCGCGGCCGCGAGCCGAGAATTTTTAATTACGCGAACACGAGCTACGCGGAATTCTGCGGAGGTTTTAAAGGAAGGGGACGTGCGAGAGAAACGGTCGTTGAAATTGCCGAAAACTGGTGGCATTACGGGCCCGCGCGTAAGGGTGTTTGTGATGCGGTAGCGTGGCGGAAGAGCGGGACGAGAAAAGGGCGGAGGTACCGAAGGGAGACATAGGAAGAAATAAAGCGGCCATGTTCCTTTGAGGCTGCGCGAGCAATATGGAAATAAAGGTCGGTATCCGTGTAAAAGTTTTAGTGTCACCTCTACCTCTGCGGGTTTATTGCTCCTCGGAGGATCTCTTCTTTCCTTCTCTTCTTGGTTCTCTTCGCTGTGTGTCTCGCGTGTTGCTCTTCCCGCTCCTCCCTTTTGCGCGTTCTCGTTTCTTCTCTCTCACTTCGGCTTTTACTTCGGTTCGGTAGGGACCCTACGCGGCCGCAGGCGGTCACCTCGACAATTCCCGCCTCCGTCTCTTCCTCCTCTTCTTGTTCTTCTTCCGTCCCGACCGCTGGTGTCCCGATCTTTTTTTCTCGTCCAGGAAACAACCGAGTCGTTCCTCATCAGGACGTTATTTTTGCAACGTCCTGACCGATAATCGCTTTTCGTCTTGCTTCACTGATTATCGGGAGATCTGCGGTCTTTGGGCGCAGAAAAACCGCGATATACGTTTGTATTATATGTGGTGTTTCCTTCTTCATTTTCCATTCTTACACTCATTCGTCTTTGCTCCTCCTTTCTTTGTCGGTTTCTTAAAAACGTCGATGGTGGTCCAACGGCCGGATAACGGCGATTACCCGCAAAAGAACCCGCGCGCATGTAAGTTCCCGGTAATACCATTTAGATTACACGCGATTGCCGCGCTACCGGTGGCGGGGGCATCTCTCGGCATGAAATTCAGTCCTTGGGCGCGCCATTACTTCAATTAGCTACTTACGTAGAAATGCAATTTGCGTAGAGGCGGCACGTAGACGATGGCGTACAAAGTTTAATGAGATTCTGACATATTTCAATAATATATATATATATACTTTATATACGTGTGTATATACATATATATATATATATATATAAATTTAATAGTTGTACGAGCTTCCGGAATTCGGCTTAATCGCCGCATTTCAAGTTTATAAAACTCGTTTCTAACAAGAAGATATAAAAGTTGAGTCGCGTGTAACTACCCGCGTGATGAGAGCTCAGTTTTGCTCAATAATAAAGTTTTCTTATACGTTATATGAATCTTTTTGCATCTTCTCTTACGTATCTTCATTTAATTTAGTTTTCTAAAAGACCTATCTCACGTGTAAGTATGACGCGCATCTTCTTTAACGAGACAGAGAGAAGATCGAGATGCACTTTTAAAATTAACTTTTTGTTTGAAAGAAATATCGTCATAAATACAAATTTTTGCGCGATTTGATATAATTTCGAAATGAATGACTCAGCAGCAAGCGATCGATTTGAATTCTCATCTCTCCGCGATATTCGCAAGAACCGCGCTGCATGCCTTGCGCAATCGATGAAAGCAATTCCGCGGGTGTGCAAACATCGAAATGGAGGGAAGCGAACGCGACTAATAGCAGTTTTAATCACAATGCCGGATAAACATTTACCGACGACCTCGTCATTGTGCTTGTTTCAGATACTGAGGGATATCCGGCAGGGTTTAATGCAGCTAGGAGTAGATAGACGGGGTCAGCTCCCTGAGGGTAAGTACATCAAGGACCCACAACCTCCAGCTAGTTGTCGTCTTGTCTCTCCGCGCGAACTGTAACCCCGGCTCTCTGCGAGAACCATCTCCGGCCTGCGCGCACGTGTGAGAGAAGGCCGTATATACGTGTGCGCACACGTGGTGACACCTGTACGTGTGCATGCACATTGAACGAAATGTGCACGTGCCCGACGCCGATATGTATGAGAGAATCGACCCCTGAGTGCTTGACACCTCGTACGTAGTTCTCCCCGCTCATTCTCGCGAGACTCATTTCGAGCATTCGTTTCCTGATGGCTCCCCTCGTAGTCTTTTTCAGGAAATCTCGCTCCCTGTAACCTCGGCAGCTTTCCGCGATAAAGCGGGATCGCAAACTAGAGTGAGATCCGCGGCTTTTGAACAAGCGCGGAAGAGAGAGAGAGAGAGAGAGAGAGAGAGAGAGAGAGAGAGAGAGAGAGAGAGAGAGAGAAGAAGGTCTCGGTGTAATAAAGCCCGATCCCTTGGCGTTTAATGTGGAAAACTAGTGAGATTTTTCTAAATTTTTTGAATTCGTGTTATCAGAGAAAAAAATATTCGAATCGCGACGGGAATAATTAATGACGAGAAATAATAATTACACGTCGAGATTTAATGTTACATCGTACATTCCGGCATGAATGGAGCACGCCCTATGCTCTTTATTGTCAATTTATCACCACTGTGGTGGTTTTATTTTCTATTCAGCACACACACACTCATACACACACAAACCGAGGCGGCGCCGTGAAGCCCTTCGTGTACGCAAACTAATCTTGTTATTGTTAGTGCTCGCTACCTTCATTTCCCAAACCCTCTTCGCTGCGTTCGCCTTTCTTCGCGCAATCGTATGCACGCTTGTAATTCCCAGGTTTTCGCACGAAGAGAGGAATCTTTTAAAATGTTTCACAATCCGTTGTTATTAAATCTAACTTAGTCCGGAATTTGCAACAAATGGTATATTTTCAATTGTTTTCGTGAGATGGTCGTAACTTGTTTTTGAAAATATTAAATATATCGTTATTACGACATGCGGAGTATCGATTGTCGATTAATAAGTTTTTTTCCATTCTCTCGATTCTCAACCGGGCGAATGCGGAAACCAATTGTTTTGGGATTATTCATTCCTATGATTTTGAACAATAAATAAAAAAAAAAAAGAAAGAAAAAACGGAACGAATTATTGATCCGTAGATGACACGTATATGTACGACGAAGACGCGCGATGCGGAGGTGCAGGTCCCGGACCGGGCGGTCAACATTGGTACGACGAACCCCCTTACGAATCCGATCCCGAAGACTTTCTCATGGGAGCCAGCGGCGGTCCGGTCCCTACCGCGACTATTCAAAATGGAAGGTAATTTAAAATAAATGTAAACTCTCAAGCATATCATTGCAGGCAAACACACTCGGTCTTAAATAACTTTGTTAACGTACAATAAATCAGAATAATTAAGGATCTTAATTAACTGGCACGATCAAACGCCAGAGTGTGCTTTACGTTGAACATGAGGCCGGAAACTCGAGGGGAGGGTGTGATCTCCCTTCGAACAGCTGGCGATATCAGTCTGCCGCGCGATCGTTCGAGGAAAGGCGCCACGTCGACGATGCGAGGTCTCATCGTTCCTCAGGGTCACAATAATCCGCCAACGATTATACCCCTCACCCACTCGAGGGCTTCCCGTGAGAGCGGAGATTATGCGAGTAGCGACGTGCAGGTAAGTCCACAACGTTCGACGATCTCCCGGGCACAAGCATCACAAGCGCGCCATTCTGTTGTCTCAAGCGAAGTCTCTTTGCCCCCGACACCGCCAAGTTATATCGTTTCACGCGCGCTTCAGTGTTAGCAATATAAGCGACGAGACGTTTATATGTTTTGAGCTAACTCTCGTGAAAAGTAAGCAGTTACATCGCGTAATGTAATTTCAGGTTGTTTGAAAAATAATCGAGATCTGGCAAGAATCTCTTTGCACAGTATCTATGTTTGATAATCGTCGCGGAATAAAGAAACAACACATGCTATTTTCGCACTACGATTTTGTCGCTCGAGATTACCGAATTATCGCGTGCCCCAAATAAGTGTCATGAACCTCGTTAAGTCCGCGGGTAATGTTATTGCGCCGAAGCGTAATATCGAGGGACCGAATTCAGTCAGATAAATCCCGTTATAGATCGTAGCCGTCACACCGCGGCGAAATTACATTAGTCGCTACTGCGTTTGCGATAAGTAGCACGCAGAGTCCGAACTTGCTTCAGCAGCAACCCTCGGTTCGATCTCCCTTTGCTGAGAGATCCCACGGGGAACGGGGGGGATGTGCGGGAGAAAGGAGACGCCTATATACGTTCTCGTGGGCGTACGTCACGGCGTGATTTATTTAATTTTGGGGCTACAGAGTGTGAGCTCGAGACTGTCGACTGTGTCGGTGGACACGAGTAGGAGCGACCAGCCTACGCTGGGTGGTCGCCAACCCGACCGGCCGGAGCACCACCCGCACCACGAGCACCATCACAACCATCGCCATCATCACGAACATCACCACTCGGTCTCGCCGCGTCCCAATCAGCGTCACCCTGCTACTAGCACGACCGTTACCGCCAACACCGTCGACGCAACGTCACCGCAAAGCAACGCGCAGCGTCGCCCGGTTCCCAGATATGTTCGTATGCAACTATGCCGAGAGAGAATCTAATGGCTGAAACGTAGATCCTTTGTACGCTCTATCCTGTCCAACCCCCCGCAAGGCAACACATCAGAGACCAGTTTCCATAAACTACTAACCCACTTTCTGCGCACTTGTGTGTTCACGCGTGACGTACACGCTCGGTCCATTATGTATGCCGAGCGCGCGGGGGGGCGTCTTTGGGTTAGAAAACGGGAGATTCCGTCAGATTAGATTGCACATATACGGTCCGGCGCTCGTGAATATGAATTTTTCGTTCGCGTTTACACGCGCGCATGCCGCTGTTTGCGAGTGAACTGTGTTACTGTAGTCGTGAATATCCGCAGTTATATTATGAGAGAGAGAGAGAGAGAGAGAGAGAGAGAGAGAGAAAGAGAGAGAGAGAGAGAGAGAGAGAGAGATCATGCTTTTCTTCTTCGGTCGGTTTTCCGGCGTGTTGGCTCAGCGAATTTACGCACCGAAAGCGTATTCAATTCATCTCGTCGAGTGGGCGCTACGAGATCCCGCGGATTGTTTGCAAGGAATCAGACGCGACGGCGCGGCCGGTTGCGTTGAAATCACGTCGAATTTACGTCAGTCAGTCACTTCCGCTGCTGCCGTTGGGTAAACATTTTTCGTCGATTTTACAAACTTAATAACACGATCTGGTACCATTTTCGCGGTGGATCGTTGTTTGCTGGCGTTTTATTTGAATTGCCGGGAAATCGCGCGTCTCTCTCGTATAATTTTCTCGTCGAAATTTTCTCCGGCGAAAGATCGAATCTAAAGTGTATGTTTCTCTCTCTCTTCGGCGGATAAAGTACTTCTGTGTAAAATTGGTGCGAGACATGCACGTCTACACAGTCTCGATTCGTATCTCGGTCGCGGTTTTCACGAATCAAGATAGGTCGCGGAAGCGACTGTAACGTTGTAACAATAGAGTGACATTCAGGCGCAAAAAACTCTCGAGAATCTCGTAAATCTGATCAGAGCTCAAGAATAAGGTGCCTCATTTCCTGCTCTGACGCCTACACAGCACTGACAGCCTCTATAAATATATGTATGTGTATAAATAATACTCACACACTGACACGCCAATGTTAAGTATATCACTAACTCATCTAAACCGGGCGTAGCCCTTATATATGTATATATATATATATATATATATATATATACACTATATACTTACTTCTCATGAAACACGCAATTCCCCCTCTATATATTATATTAATATCGATTGCAAACGTGGCTAACGTGGTACTTCAATCCTTGACATGTGTTTATTTGCTAACTAACTGTATTTGGTTATTATTATCTCTACGCGAAAGTTATCTCGAAAGACGCAAACGTGTCGGGAGAACAACAATTAATTAAGTGCTAATAACTTGAAATCACGGTTTAAAAACTTGATGTTAACAAGTGGAACAAATTTTTTTCTGTTTTAATAAGTTTTTTAGGTTTTAATAAATATCTCAATAAAAAAATACTCTTTCGAGATTGCTCTCGCTTGCACGTGCGATACAGCAACATTCTCTTGACGTTGGGTACCGTCTTCATACTTGTGTGCCTTTCATTTGCTCTATCACTGGTGACAGTATTCGATCATTACCTAGCAAATATGCTATGTATCGGCCTGTTTAACAAAAGCATCCGCGCGCTACATTAAACCCATCATAGTGTGTGATCCGCTTCTCCCTTCACGCTGCTAAGAACCGTTTCTGCGAGTATCAAACATTTTTAGAGCCGGAGTAGCGGCGAGGAGGGACTGTCGCCGAGCCAGAGCAGCGACTACGAAGATCAAGAGGAGCTCGAGAGTCAACATTCGGCCGCAGTACACACAGTATGTAATGTATAAGAATATTCCTCTGAGAGTGCGCGCGGATTCTACTTCTCCGCGCGCACGTGTGTTTGTTGTTTGCGCTGCCATCCTCTTCCTTGCGCAATTTCCACGTTAAAAGATGTGCGCGCTCTTCTCAGTCACTGTTACGCGACCGGAAGCAAGCGATGTTTAACAACAATAAACGATAACTGAGAAAAATACTCGTACGACTGTATCACTCGCGCCATTAGCGGAAAATCGCAACAAAGTATATTTTGTTTTTCTGTGTATCATCTGTGTATTCTCTTTATTTCATTAAATATTAAAGTAGATATTTTCGTAAGCTCCGGGAATGTATGTTTGGTTTGATGCGCGCGTTTCGAGAAAAAAAATTCTACGAAGCAGAAAGATTATCAAATGAAACGAACCATTGCACATGGAAACGTATCAAGATATTTAGCTTGTAATGCCACTTTGAAGTCCGTCATAATATTCGATGCGACTGCAAGTTTGCAGTTTAATATCGGTAATACAAGCTCGAGTTCACTGATCTCATCCGGAAACTAATCCGCGTTTGCATTAAACCTGCAGTTACGTCTGTCACGAGTACAAGCTTTGATCGTATGCCTTAATGAGTATGTCTATCATTTAATAAACGCGATATGACAACGCGACATACAATATGTAATCTCCAATAATGGCACAACGTGGCTATTTCGTTGCTATTGTATAAGCAAATGGAAAATACAACATGAGGTTTCCGTCAGAAACTAACAGACCGAAATTAGAGATGCTCGATTTTGATAGCATCGTTCATTTTCTCTATAGAGCATTTAGCATTTATTTATTCTCGTTTATTTATTTATTTATTTTATTCTCCAAAAATTCGAGGATTTAAAATTACTTAAAAATATATATTTTTGGCAGAAGATAATTTTGAAATATATTTATTCATTAATTCTTTGTTTAATTATTATATAACGCTGTACACATTTTTGTTTAATATTTTACAACTCAAAATCTATATCGGTATATTTAGCGTTCTTTAGCGCACTTATTCCGTCAGGCGATCGTACGGTACGACTTTAGATTGCGCCGCGCATTCCAGAACGCCATAAATGCATTATTGAAAACGGGGTCAATAGAGATCCTTATTTCACATTTCCTCGATTTAATTAACGCGTCTTCAGCGCGACCTCGTCGCTCTGAGAACGCGTTCTTTTATCTCTCTCTCGATCGGTGCGCATTCGGGCGATAAACGAGGCACGTATTATCGGCACAAAGAGCGAACGAGAGAGAGAGAGAGAGAGAGAGAGAGAGAGAGAGAGAGAGAGAGAGAGAGGTGTGTGAGGTGTGAGGTGTGAAGTGTTCTCCGAACTGTTTTCCAAAACTCAATTAAAATTTTCAGTCGGAGGCCAGCGCCTTGCTGGAGGGCGACGCCAGGGCGGGAATCGCGGGTCGAGCGAGAAATTTGAGGCACGACGTGCAGCGGAAAATCTCGAGGTTGCGTCAGGACCGCGCGTCCTCGGAGGCCTTTCCGTGTAGCGCGAGCAGCGTCGAGAGCTTGCCGAGCGGAAGCGGCTCCAGCACGCAAGCCTTGGTACGCGCAGGAAGCAATCACAGCTCGATATCCTGCGAGGACCGGGACGCTATCAGCCCGACGTCTATCGGCCCGGTCCTCTGCCGTGCGAGGGCACTGGTGGACTACACTCCCAGTCCGTACGATAAGGACGCGCTAAAGTTCAAGGTCCGTTCTCTTCCTCTTTCTTCCCCTTCCTTGATAATTGATTTACGAGCGAAATTTCGCGCTAAACCTCCCCGCGTCGAAACATTAACGACGTGGGCGGCGCGGGAAGTTTGTCACGCGTGTAATTATTATAGGCGAGTTGTACAACTTGCAACCTGTGTGCGTTAAATCATTTTCAGCTTTTTAATTGATGAAAATTAAATCCTCTTAGATCTTTTATGTTGTAGCTTATTGTTTACCGCGCATTTTTATAATTGACTTTTCTTGTAGTCACTCGAAGAGAAGTACAAGAGAATACGTATTCGCGGAAAGGTGAGTTTCTCTCACAAATTGATCGCGCGGTAACGCTGTTTCAGAAAGGGGACATAATCGATGTGGTGCAGATGAACAAGAGCGGACTGTGGAAGGGCGTCGTGCACAACAGGATAGGCCACTTCAAGTTCATAAACGTCGAGATACTGAACGACAGGGTGCCGAGGCGGGGGGAGCCGGAGCGGGGCAAGTGGGGTCAGAGATACAGGCAGAAGCCGGGCTCCGTTCAAGAGCTCTTGCAGAGAATGAATCTTCAGGTAGAGAGACAGAGACAGTGAGCGAGCGAGCAATATCTCTCGCCGCGCGGCTCGAACAAACTGATTCGCATTTGCATGACGTCGAATGCAAAGTAGAGAGAAACCTGCTTTTATACGTTTCTTTATATTCGGTGTTCCTTGCGCGATCCTCTTCTACCCGTGTTCCTTCCAGCCCTTCTCGCCGCGTTCTCTCATCGGTCGCAGTCAGCTTTCTCGACTTATACTTTATATACAACTCGCGCGAACGACTTTATATACAACTCGACAAATACTTTTTATTCAATTTTCCTTCTCCGTTTCTTTTCATTCTGTCTTCTTCTGTTTTTTCTATCATTTTTGTCCTCATCTCGCTTGCCTCTTTGTAGTCGTTAGTTCGCGTCGAGTTTATTAATATTTTATGATTAATTAGCAAAAACGTTTGTGTGATCATTGATTGCCACCGCGATTTTCGCCGAGAGAAAAACGGACTCAAAATTTCTCGTAAAATTTACGGCTGAGATATCTAATTTTCGAAACATTCCGTGTAATCTCGCGACTCGGCGACAGATTAGGTTCGATCGCGATTCGCTGCTGAATGTTCAAGAGGCGCGTCCCGCCGAGTCTCTCTGGTCGAAGAGACGGAAGGGACGGGAGCAAAATGATAGGGCGAGGAGTCGCTGTACCGGAAACGTCGGTTCCGATTCGGGGAGCCGCGCCACTTAATTAAGCCACTATGATCGATCGTTTAATGAGCGTCGTGGATTCGTCCGTGCGCTTGTGTGCGCGCGCGCCTTTTCAGCGTCTCGTAACGATGTACATTTAATTGAAGCCCGAATGACCTTCTGTACGAATTATATCAGCGGACGAGGGATCTAAAGTATCTTTTTACCGGCTGACTGCGTCGGACTGTCGTTAAAGTTTCGTACATTACCGTAGCGACCCTTCGTTTTCAATTATTGAACATCTTAGAAGTCGGGATTCTTTGAAGAAAGCATATCGTCATAATTACGACGGTTCTTTTGCGTCAAATCGAGCTTGTCAAACCGAGATTTTCTTTCGCTTCGACGTTCAAACGTGTGTTCATCACTTCGAAACGCGGAATTTTAACAAAAAACCGTTTCCGATTATAATAAAATCAGCGAGAAGTTACATCGCATGTTTAAAAATTGATCGTTTTCGGTTCGTGTTTATTTATTTTCAAACAAAATCCGCGGCTCAATTTTTCAATCGAAGTGTGAGAAACGTTGTGCTGAAAACGGCTCATAAAAATTCTGCGAGCTTCTTTCGAACGTATATAAACTACGAGCGCAATTCGTGGCACAAGTGAACTATCAAACCTCTGTTAAGATGGAAGTAGTATCTCAAAGATGAATGTTCCGCTCGCGCAGGAACATATTCCAGTTTTTGTGCTGAACGGATACGAGGATCTGGAGCTCTTCAGGGAGTTGGAGGCGGCGGATCTCGACTATTTGCGTATACATCAACCCGAGCACCGTGCCAAGATACTCACCGCCGTGCAGCTCCTGCATGATCTCCAGTGTGAGTATAGTCGAACGTAGAGCGGCTACACACACAACACATGTATTATTCACATTTTTCTTTCCTTAAAGCCCTTTTCATCATCGTCACTATTTGTCTTATTGCATATATCACGTTACAATTACGAGTCAGTTATGTCTTTTCTCGAATTATATTGTGTTTTTTCTTAATACAAATTTTGTCCGTTATGTAAAAAAAACACCGCTGAATAGAAGTTTCAGATTTTATTTAGATTTTTTACTTTCAATTTTTTTTATCTCTCTATTAATAAAATAAAAGAAAGTTTTTGAGAATAACGCAATTTAACAAACACTTCGCACGTAAATGATAACACACGTGGTATGTTGTAACAACTAGACCCACAAGAGAGCGTAAATTGAATCGATATTTCACGCTCACGCGCGCACCTTTCTTACAGCTGGCAGCGAGGGTGACCTGGCCTCGAGTTCAGAGGGCGACGAAGTCAGCCGTCTGGTCTTAACCTCCGGCCAGACGTCCGGTCACTGTTCTCCCTTTAACCGACGCCAATTCCCGCGGGACTCGGGTTGTTACGACGCGCACAAGAACACGACCAGTCGGCGAACCATCAGTCCGGAATCGAGCGCGACGTCGGCGAAGCTGTCGAGGGAAAATAATCTGGACGGCGCGACGGCAGCGACGAAAAACGCCGGCGGCGCGATTGCCACGGAAGGCGGTCATCTGACCGACCCGAAGAACGATTTCCATCCTAACATACCGATCTCCGGCACGGTGGTAAGTCAGAAGGAGAGCCAGTTCGAGAAATCGCCGTTGCTGCGGGGCAGCAATGTGCGGTATATCGCAAAGCGGGGCAACTTCGGCGAAACGGTAGTGATCGAGGACGCCTGCGAAGGCGGCCAGAAGCTAGGCGGCATGGTCAAGTATATGGTCGGCGGTACCAGTGACCTTGGCCTGGAAAGCGCCGGCAACGTCACTGGTCTGAGTCAGCGTGGTTGTCTCAGCGAGAAGTCCAGCGACTCCGGCGTCAGCTCGTCCAGCATCAGTTCGGCGCCCCCGCCCAGGGACAAAATGCTCGCCTCGGCCAGCACCGCGTCGGACTCACCGACCAAGAGTTTCGGTAGCTTTACGAGAATGTCGCCGGCATCTCAAAGCGGCAGCAAGAATCAAAGTAACGACGGGAGTTTTCAATGAGACACGGAGCAACGAATCGGTAGGCCGGTGAATCGCGACGCGACGTTGAGCTCGATGGTGAAGAGGATGGAATTAAGGGAGTCACATAATTAACGGAGGGGGGAGGGGTAAGCCGACGAGAAGTGAAGTGTCTTAGTTTTTGGACTCGAGAAAAGAGTTGCAGCGCCTACGATTCGCGAGAAAGGTAAGGTGATGTCGGGATCAATGATGTGCGAACACTTCAGATATTTTGATCCTGCGTACTTCGCAACGAAGTGTTTCTTCTACGAAAAAAAGAAAAAACTTTCAGATTTTTAAAATAATTGCGGCAAGATAAAAATGATCGCGAAATTAGTAATAATTGACAGTTGCGAAGTGCTCAAATTCGCGTCTTGATTCGAATACATAGTCGTCGAGGAAGTACCGGGATCTCGTTTAATAATTCCCGTCACGCGGTGGCGCGCGAACAGAAAGTCTAATATCTTGTGACGGCGCTCTCCGATATTAATGTCGAGGGAACATTTTGTTATTCCGTATCTCGGATATTTGGACGCGACGGGAAGAACTGAGGCAAGAATCGCGAGCGGAACGAGCGAAATTCCGGCAGTTGTAACAAGGACTCCCCTGGAGGGAGCGCGTCCGGAAGTCAAAGGTTTTTCGCATTTCGCGTCGCATTTGATTCGAACAAATTGCACTCAATGGAAAAATAAAAAAAAATAAAAAAAAAAAAACAAAGAACACAAAAATATCACTGCCGGTCATCATTTCGATCTTAGCACACACCTGGCCGATTGCTCTCGGCATCTCGAAAATCAACCAAATCACACTCGCGCCTGTATAGTAAATGTGCGCAATTAACAATAAGCGAAATTACTATGTGATACGGTAGCAATATACGATCGATTAATCGGATAGGTAGCGAAATGAGAAAGAGAAGGAAGTGATGGCCACACAGCGACACGATGACGCGAAATCGTCGTCGTGATCCATTGCGTACAATAAATAAATAAACAAAGAGAGAGAACGGATGAAAATCCTTTGTGACAAACGCGTCCATTAGTTTTTGATCTTGCGCACGATGTTATCAAGTCGGTATCATCATCGCCGGCGACGACCTTGCGATTACTCACGCCGCAAATTTATAGTTTCGTCGATGTATTGTTCGTAACAGTTCGAAAAACTGCCAGCGGCTATCGGATTCTTAATCTCTCGTCGAACGGCGCGATCTCTTATCATACGTATCTATACATACTTAAATATATATATATATATATATATATATATATATATATATAAATATATATATATATTTATATATATATATATACTTTAAACTTTTGTACGTTCTATCGATCTCATCGCTAGAAGACACGCGCGAAATAGTCAGAAAATTCGTTCCCGAAAAACACGCATTCGGGGAGGAGCAATTACGCACTTTCCGCTTTAACATAGGCGAACTCGCGAGGATATCCATCTTGTTCAGCAATACAGACGGATTATCGGATCACAGATGCCTTACGAGCGCTTTTCACTTACGTAGCTTCTTTACGCGATTCTATATAACAAAGCTCTCGGACGTCAAGAGCTTGCGATATCGAATGACCCTTTTACTTTTCATCGTTTGCGTAATTTTATAACATATATACATATACGAAGTAGAAGAAACAAATTTTCACGGAGAATTATAAAAAAATTTCGGCGTCGGAAAATCGCGGCGCATCGTCACCTCGGACCTTTGCTTATTATATACAGATCGACAATCTCCCCATCGTCGATGCGACTCGTTCAAGTTCTTCGTCACGATGGTAAAACCTGTACATGTGTATATTGACCACACCGCGGGAGGGGGAAACGTTGAAAGTTACAGAGATTTTTGTATGTACATAAAGATTATATTATAACGCGTAGAAACTCAACGATGTTTTGTATTAATCTTGCCCGTTTGCCAAAACTTCAGACTTTAGACTAAAAACAAAAAACAATATATATATATATATATATATAATACATAATATATATATATATAATACGCGATATATATATGTATATGTATATCGTACAGTTGGATCTTTATATGTATATGTATATATATCTCTTGTATAGTGTAAAATCATAGATAAATTTACGAGACGCGGGAGCGCAATCAGAAAAAGGGCTCGCGGGAACAGACGTGTGATGGGCAGAGCCGAGAGAAGCCCGATGGATAATAATAAATCGTAAGTAATAATTTTTTTAGTCGAGACGTAGCGACGACTCGACGAAGCGCATTATTAATGTAAGTAAGATAGGAAAACGAAAAGAAACAATAACACACTCGCTCTGAACGAACGATCGAAATTACCGATGTAGCAATGAGAAAGCAGAACTGGTGATATAACTAAAAAGAGAGAAAGGATCTTGCGATTTTGTCTTTCGTTCGCGATCACACCGAAATCGTGATACTTTTTTTTGTATCGTCGTCATCTACGTATAGAACGCGCTTCTTCTATCTTCGTCGCGCTAATAATCGCAATCACGAAAAACGAGTCGCGAACACACACACACACACACACACAAAATCCGATTATGTGATCCAGAAATCGGCTATGTTTAGAGATCGAACAAGTAGTCGCAAGTTGCTTCCAATCGACACGCTGAAGGATTAATCAACGTCGACACGCTCGATCGCGGCTGCAATATGTGATTTTGGCGAGATCGAAATTTCGAGAGATTGAAGTCGCGTCCTTCTTTTCTCGAGTTCGGTGCGACGATCCAATTCGAGAAAAACATGTCCGATAAAAGGGCGCGTCGATTTCGGTAAAGTCCGCTAGTTTATCCGTTCCATCATGAGTGCTAACATATAGAGAATGAATGAGATTGCGAGAAGAGAAACAAATCACGGCGAAGAGAAATGAGAGAGATATACACACGGAGATTGAAAATGATGTGTGCATGTATATGAGCGTGCGTGTGTGCGTGTATGAGTGAGAAAGGAAAAGGGACAACGCGATGTTAAATTAATAACGAGTTTATGAGAGTACGAATAGACACGATAGTGATTTTATTAGCTCGGGAAAATTACGCAGCATTCGATGTAAAGTACATTCATTCTAATCGTAGACCCCAAAGGCGCAGTAATCGAAATAGGTAATTTTAAGCGAACCTTTAAAGAGATACGGAGAGAAGCGAGTTGTTGATTGGGAAGAATATATATGAAGGCCTACGGCGTAGCCCTACACGCCTCTCGAAACGGCGATCAATAAAAAGCACATAATACATTACATAAATTATATTATTTCGCCGATCGACAAGCCGCGTTTAGGGCCGCCAAGTCGCTAGCGGAAGAAGTTAAGCGTTTATGTAGCGGTCTAGTCCATTTTTCTCGCGTGATTAACACAAAATATAATGTAAATAAAGTAATACAAAATAAAAAAAAAAAAAAAAACGAAAGACGCAGATCTAGAGAGAAAAAAGAAAATAAAGTAAGAAAAAATAAAAAAATAACAAGCAGAGAGCGATTGCGGCCACGAATTGGCGCGCGATCGCCAGACCTTTTTATAAGCTGATTTTGTATTTATTGGTTAAATTGCGGGGTTTATATATAGATGGTTATACACACCGAATCACACGTAATTCTTATCGTCTCTCGGTTCTCGTATAGTTTTCAGCGATAAGTGTTAATTTATTGACTGTGAATAGAAAATAAACGATGGAAGATTCAAACGAGAGAGAATCGCCTCGTGTTCCACCCCAGTTGAACTTCCACCCGATTCCATAATCCCGTCTGATTATCCTCGCTCGACGCAACGAAGCAGATGTGCCAGTAAACGGTAAGTGCTTTAATTAAGACAACATGTACATGCATGTAATCTCCTTGTCAAATGTGCGCTGAAATAAATGCCGGAGAATCTTAATTAAAGCGAGTTGAAATTGGAAATTATCCATTAATGAGTAATAAAACGCGCACTTTGCTTAATAATAAAATCATTGACTTTGCTAGCCACAAGTTTCTTTTAAACAAAAATAATATCCACTTTTTTAACACATTAGAAAAGTAGAAAAAAAAAAAAAACAAGATAAATAAGTTTTTCTCGCAAAGCAGCTTATCGTTTAATACGTATTAATACGTTTCGCGCAACCGCAAAGGCCTCGCCTGACAATTTCGCGCGCGCGCGCGGTGCATACAGCGGATTAATTAGAAAGGCAAATGCACCGGTCGGTTTTAAACAATGCAAAGTGAATCGCGGAAGATTCCGACGTCGTCGTCAGCGACGTTCTCCGTCCGTTTCATTGCGACCGCGCTCTGTGTTTCCAGAAAATATCCGCGCGTAAACGGGAATAATTAGACGTTTCTAGCCCGATTAACGAGCTCTCTTCCGCCGCGACGTTAATCGTCGCGCGGATGTCGTTTCGTATAATACGCGACACCAATCCTTCCTTTAGCGCTTGCCACGCAGGACCATTAGCGGGAAGAAGTTCCGAGTGACGGACGACTACGGCGCGCGCGCCCGCTGCACAGTAACTTCAGCGCCGCCGCCACCGTGCAAACTTCGCGTTTTGGTTATCTGCTATTACTTGGGAAAGATTCTCTTATTTAACCATCTTCCCGCTCGCCGCGTAATTGTGGAAACTCCGACAAATGCAGCTTCTCTTGTCGTTCCTTGCGCAGAATCCCCGGCGCAGTCTAATGCACCGCGACGATCGTTATCCTCGTTATAATTCTTGCGAATTACTGTATTGTCCGCGACGCAATTCAATTATGCGACAAAGAATTTCACGCACAAATATTATATAGCAATATTTTTTATAACAGTAGTAATAGTTATTTTAAATAATTCGAACAAATTTGATTTTTATGCAACATCCTCTTCGTCTTGTAATTTCATCACATTTTTATGATACGCCAAGAACGTGTCACGGATTCGAACTTTTTGCCGAAAACTCGGGTCTTGAAAAACGGGTTAGAAACGAGCAAAAATCTTCCAAAAGAAAGCACGATAGCGAGGCATTTAGTAATGTATGTAAATGTACCCTCCGAGAATCGACGCTCCGAATGTTACACCGTATGTACGTGTCCATTCGTAAGCTTTATTTCGTATCCTCGAGGGAGACAGCGCGAACTTTTAGTGCGCCGGAGATTATGACGGTAATAACTCGACGAGTTTCTTTGGCCGCCACTCGCGCGCGGTCCACGTGGACAAAAATTCTTCATTCCCCTTGAGGATGAGATCTAATTTAACTTTTAGGATCGCGTCGCGCAATCACGGCAGCTTCCGGTGATTCAGACGAGTTACATTTGTATCATTTGCTTTCGTTACACCTCGTTTGGCGCGAAAAAGCGTTCTTTGCGAAAGCGTCTTTCTCGTGTTAAAAAAAAAAAGAATGCACTCGTGACGTCTGTTACATTATTATTGCGCGCATATCTCTGAGATATTATCAGTGGCGGAATAATCTCACGTAACGTGTGAAAAAGCTGAGCTACAAATTTCTCATCGATAAAGTCGTTAGGAGGAAGATACCGATCTTCAAGTTTTTTTATCTGAATTGTGCGGAATTGACGCGCGATTCATTGCCGCAATTTTAATAATATAATCGGGGCGCGCGCATTCGTTGTATTTCTTAAGCGAGATTTATCGCGTAAAGGATACTTGTATGCATTCGTTGTAGTATGCACATACATATATATGCTATAAATCGCAATCGACATCGTCTCTACCGCAACCGGTCTCGGTTATCGGGTGCGATCGGGCAA